GCCGCCGCCGCCACCACCACCACCACCATGGCGGCGGGACGAGGCTGGCGCCATGCGGCCGACACGCGACATCCGACTGTCCACTCTTCGTGACGTTATTGGCCGCCCCCGTGACGTGGACGTCTACTTGGCGACCCTCCGCTTGACCGGCTGTCCAAGCCACGCTGAACACGACGCGCCGCGTTCCAGAACTAACGGCACTCACGGGCTTAGAAGACGGTTGGGTGGGTTAGGAAGCAAGAGTTGAAACTTTTCAGGTCAAATCACACAAACTTCTAATTCACGCCACGATAATTAAAATTGTTGAAACGCGGGTCAGATCACCGGCAAAGGTGGCTTCAGGCATCAACTGATGTCACTGCAGTGCTTCTGACCGAGAGGTTCTAGACTCAACGGTGGCAATATTTTCGGCACTAGCTACGTAGATGGGTCGAATTCAGCCGTTGCCTGGACAAGAATTTTAGAGGCCGGCTGCTCTGATCGGTAGTTTTCCTTAATTTCTCCGATTAACACCAGGCGAATGTCGGTTCAGTACCCTAACAAACGGTTCATGGACAGCTCCTTTCTTTTGTTCCCCTTCCTTATTGTATCCTCACTGCTTACTCGCGCGCGCGCGCGCACACACACACACACACACACACACACTACACGCACTACACTATTACAGAAGTCCGGAGCTTAGAGCTTGTCCCGGCCAGGGCGGTGTCCCGCAGGTTGAAGATACCTGGTTGGGGAAAATACTCGCAAGCGGACGTAGGTCAGCGGTCGGCGTCTTTCCAGCCAGCAGGGGGAGATCACCATGAAAACATGCACAACACTTGCGGTACTAAGGAGCTTAGCAGTTGACGTGTCTGGAATCACAATTACTATGCGATTATTTTGACACTTATTTCACCCAATTATTTGGAGAGGCAGTTTAATAGAAAGTACGTTAACAATGAACAGTGTAAGCTCTCTGCGATTGTGAGCTGTCTGTTTTCCTACGGTGTGCATGGCTTCACTTTTATGATCGCTTATAGAGAATTGATATTCTCTATTATAATTGTTATTTTTGCATGCTTTTGTTCGTGATTTGAATCAATTATTGTAATACTCTTGTGGTGTATGTGTACGACACAGAAAAAACTAAATCAATCGTCGAAACTTTCTCTAATTTCAATCTACAATAGGTTTCGGTCATTTGGGTTCAATATGCCAATTTCCATTTACTAGCATGAGTGAATCGGGCATGTCCGACGTCGGCCTACCGAAATTTCGGTCAAAACCTTCGGCCGAAATTTCGGTTGCCCGACTTCAAAAGTTTTCGTCCATAGGTTGGATTCAAACACATGCAGATAAACTAAAATTGCCACAGTGAACCCGAACAATCTCGACCGACATCAGAAAATATTGGTTGTCAGACAAAGACATGTTTCGTTTGATTCTGTCGGTTTCACTCGCCCGAAATCACCTGGAGAGTCCAGGCCATCTATAATACCGAACCATCTACAATACATTAAAGAATCTTGAAAGCGTTTCTGGCAAATGTTTCATACTGTAAGTCGTGGAATTAGGGAACATTCGGATGACTTCTTGCGCAACATTCGGGTGTTTTTCGGGATGAAACAAGTCGTCCGGTAGCGTCCGACCGATATTTCGGCCACCCTGTGCGCGCAGCCCGAGTCTTGAACCAGGCTACACGCAGAGGTGGCCGTCACGTGGAATTCCAACGTCACGGCCACCTGGCAGCCGAGGGCCCCGCCCACGCGCCGCGGCGGCGGTGGCCGATCGCCCTCGAGTGCCACGCCGTGGCGCGGCGCGGCGAAAGTGAGACGATGAAGACGCCTTTGTGGCCACGACAAATTCCTCGGGCGGCCGCTGCGAGCGACGGCGATGAGTGGACGGACCGGTCGGGCCGTCCATTGTCTCGTTGGGGAGGGGGCGATCACGGCCGCGAAAGGAAGCAGCTTTGATTGCCGCCTCAATCTCAATCACAGCAAACGCGTACGCGAGCCGCGTGAAGATGACGAGATAATGGTCTAATGAACGCGATGAAACGACACGATTGCTTTGCGATTATGAAACTATTTCGTCGATACATATTCCACATCATAACCTACATTTTTTTTAAATCTCACATTGGTTTATTCATGTCAGGTGATTTGTCACAAGCTTTGTGTTGGCTATGGTGTTAGAATATAAAGCACTGTTGATTCATGTGGATACGATAATATGGAGGTTTTTTGAATATTCTTATTTAGACTCATTTCTCACATTCTAGCATCGCATCGTCATAAAAATTGATACGATTCAACAACTGAAGAAAATGTTGGCCTTGTAAGGATACAATATGAGACTTTGACCGGGAATTAAGAAACTTTCATTTTATGCAAAGTATTTCAAGAAAGTTGCCGAGTATGGACTGTCGCCCAAAACCGACTGCAACCATACTTCTATTGCTAAAAGAATACGGATTATACAAGTTGGCTCTAATGTTTTGCAGTATTGCCATGCTCATAATCCAAAGAATCTAGTAAATTTTATTGTGGGCTCTTCATAAATCTCAATACATAGATAGATGTTTGTTCCGCTTCAATAAAATCTGAAAAAGTTTCACGAAATTTCCTTATTTAATAATATGCACTGAACACTAAACTTGTAAACCTCAAGTTTATATGTGGGATTGTAATGTTAATATTTTTGCGTGACTGCTATTAAATCTATCGATTACCAAACAATATCAAAAACACACCAACAATTTTAAATCAATTTTTTCTTCAAAGCGTTGAAAATAATAAATATCTTCCGTTCATCTCTAGATAAACAGTGCAATATCACGCTATAGACTCATTAACTCTACGATGCAGAGTGATGTACACATCAATACAATCAAAACATTAAGAGAAATTACTGGTAAAATTACCATGTATCACAAACACAGGGGAAAACTTATATTTATCCGTTCCAAGTAGGTTAGTAAAAGTGAATCGTTTTCTATAGATGGTGGTATTTCTACTATATCCAGAGAATATAGCAACTAAGAAATAACTACACATCACGACAACTGTCTTCTTTCAAATAGTTCAAGAAGGATTTGTTATAGAAGAAATTGAAAGGATTAGAATTCAGGAAACATAAAAGGGCGCGGAATCATCCTCTCCAACAGATATGGTAGAATACATAGAATTTCATATGTCGATTTTGGCAGCAATTTTAAGTGGGTGGGTTTTAGCAAGCACGCAACACCTCCTACCTAATGTTCCTAAGAAGCCATCCAAAATTAGCGAGGGCAGCCGTCCCCTTCCGTTGCCACTTGGACAGGCATTTAGAGGGCACAAATTCAGTGTGACATTCATAGAACACCAATTGGACTATTCATGGGTAAGCAAAGAAGGAAAGAAAATTTTCGCCGGTCCGTCCTATAATTTTTTGCAGACTCTTGAATTGAAGACGGGAATCATCATTCATAAGAAGCCTGCGGCCACATACGACACCATGATAGGGGTACTTACGTCGGGGGATGCAGAATTCAGCGTAACATTGTTGTATTTCACTACTGAAAGAAATATCGGGTTGGATAGCACTGCAGTTGTGAGCAAAGGTGAATATTGCTTGGTGATGAAACGAGCCCCATATTTCTCATTTGGAAAGGTTCTTCTCTCACCGTACAAGTCATCCACGTGGGCAGCCTTGTTACTCTCCCTGTGTGCTTTCGCAGGTATATGGTATGTGGTACAAGGGTTTCGCATGGTGCACGGAAGATACATCAAGATTTCCTCTGCTGGTAGACTAACGTACGCTTTTATAGATGTGATACAAATGGTGTTGGCTAATTGCTGCACGCGTGTTGTACTAACAAACGCGCAACGAATAGCGCTAACCGCCGTTTTGTTGTTCGTTGTCGTGGTGAGCCATGCGTATTCTGGTCAGCTTCTTGGACTTCTCGCCAACCCACCCCGAACGAAAGACCCCCAAACTTTGCAAGAAGCAGCTCCTAAAGTCGAAAGTGTGTACATAATAGAAAACTTGAAAGCAGATGTTTTGAATGCGAATGAAGATGGTTCATTAACCGAACTGATAAGTAAAATGAAACCACGAAATTTTGGTTTCGACGTGAATGTTCTTCAACGGATCGCGACGCAAGGCAAAGAAAGTGTGTTTACTAGTACGAGACACTCACAATTTTTCGCTCACTACAAAGAATTAATGGTCCACGGTGATCGAACGCTTCACAGCGTACCGGACTGTTTCTTCACTCCTGGTCATCAAAGTTTCCTGATTCGTAAAAATTCCACATTCTACGATGCGCTCTGTAAGATGGCGTTGTTGGCTGCAGAGGGTGGATTGTTCGACCACTGGACTCGGTCGCAACGCCATCACATGGATGCCAACGGTGTCACCGTTTCCGAAAGAGTCTCCCTTGGCGACCCTCGTCCGCTATCTGTCGAGCAAGTGAGCGGTCCATTCACAGTGCTAAGTATCGCGTGGGGCATAGCCACTGTGATCTTTATATTAGAACGTAGTACTGCGTATGTACTAGGCGTAGTACGTGTACGTACTAGATCCAATGAAAGCAGTTGCGAATGCGAATGAAAAGGTTTCATTAAATGGTTTTCTTTTTTACTGAATCTTAATCAATAAAGTTCTGACGTAATTCCATGACCTACGAATACTTCAAATAATAGCGATGTACGGGAAAGAAACTACACAACATTGGTAATATCAAAATACTTTATTTTTCTTCTATACGAAAATAAATAAGTGATGGACAGAGGAGGTCGTACACTACACAGCTGTGTGAACACTTCGGCACATCGGCCAGTGTCTTCTCACCTGATGCACATTCTACGAGGTGTTTCAAATGGTGGTGTCGTTGGCTGCAGTGAGAAGTTCATTCGATAAATAGACTCGCTCGCAATGCCATGAGATGATTGCCCCTTTACAGATCTGCGAATCGTCTGAGGCGAAAGGACAGAAATATTCGTGTTTGAACTACTGTTGATGAAAAAAGTGTGGAAAACAGTTTCCCCCCAAAAAACCTTGTAATGATAATTTGGTAATGATCATTCATGAATTCAAATCTTTGTATGTATCTTTATGTCAACGCATTTCTACTGTTCAAGCATATTTCTTTCTTTTATTTATTATTAAAATTAATCATATGGCAAAGAATATTGCTAATTCAAACTTTTATTATCATACCTTGTACGTAAAGAAATTTTCTTTATATTCGTATAACTGTGACGGAAATTTAAAAAAATACAATAATTTAGCTGATGTCGGTTTTAATACCGTAGAAAGTAAACTTCCCGTCGGATTCAATATTCAAAGTATTCGAAGTACAAAGTTTAACGTATTCGATATACAAAGTATAACGAATTCGTAAACGCAAGCGTTTCAACAATCATCTCACCATATTTATGGAATAGTCACTGACCACATACCAACACCTCTCAGCACCTCAGTGCTTACGCTCTTAACACTAACTCAGCAATTTCTTGAACAATTAAAATTAAAACATTTCTTCAATTTAAAATTTTAAATTAGAAATTGAATAGATGTACTAAAAATTATAAAAAATAATAATATACTAAAAACTATAAAATAAAAATGTATTCAAAATACAAAAATAACATTTCAAAAGTTCAAATCTGGAAAATAATTGTCCAGAAAATTCATCAACATTGTTTAAAAAACAATTAAAAGATTTCCCAAAAACTCAGTTAAGTTGTTTTATTCATTTAATATCAATTATGTATCCCAAATTTTAAACAAAAACACTATGATACCCCCAACCTGAAAACGAAAAGCGTTGTTTTCAAAATGTAGTATGTCTGTCCATGCGTTCTTCTGTCTGTTCACTTTCGTTGATGAACACAATAGCTAGCGCCTAAATCATACATTGAATTTTCCCCAAAATATATATTCCTCGATTGTTCTGGCTCGACTAAAGCCCTGCAAATTTGAAATTAAACTTTTAACTTCGCAGGGCTTTAGCTTTACAAGAAACGCTTTAAATATTTTCAAAATTGTCTAGGTTGATTGCAACTCGCACAAAAAAGCAAACGTAATTAACAAATGGCGGCAGATACGTGTTATTTTATAATTTTATGATATTATTAAAATCTATCGTTAAAGTAATAAAACCTGTTAATAATAGCTACTGATAAATTGACCTCCTGCCATTTAGTTAAAGACGACAATCGTGATATTTGGTTAAATGGACTGCTCAAATTTCATTCAAAAAGAAAGTCTTCAACATTTTGTATTATGAGACTTGTCATATTACAGCAAGGCTTTCAATTGTTGAAGGTATTTAAGAAAGGAGAAATCATATTCACTGCGTCATTATTTTATTCCACTACCTCATAATTCAAGGCTTAACAACCAAGGGAAGCAGCCGAAAAGCTGATCTCTGTAATAACACACGTATCTCTCTCCGAGGTAGAATATGTATGTCTCGGAAGAGAACGTGTTGCATGATCAGAAATGATCGATACGCAAATATCCTTTGAGTGTGTACCTCACCCCAGTTTTTTTTATTTACATCATCCTGTTGGGGTGAGGTCAGATGTTTACACCCAGATATGTGAATGCAAGTAAATGCTTAAATCGAATCGTAATAATCAAAGAGAAAAGTTATTATTATCATTATCATTATCATTATCATTATCATTATCATTATCATTATCATTATATTAATCGTTATCGTTTATCGTTATCGTTATCGTTATCGTTATGTTATCGTTATCGTTATCGTTAGTCGTTATCGTTTCGTTATCGTTATCGTTATGTATCGTTATCGTTATCGTTATCGTTACGTTATCGTTATCGTTATCCGTTATCGTTATCTTATCGTTATGTTATCGTTATCGTTATCGTTATCGTTAATCTGTTATCGTTATCGTTATCGTATGCGTTCGTTATCGTTATCGTTATCCGTTTATCGTTTATCGTTATCGTTATCGTTATACGTTATCGTTATCGTTATCGTTATCGTTATCGTTATCGTTATGTTTCGTTATCGTTATCGTTATCGTTATCGTATCGTTATCGTTATCGTTTCGTTATCGTTCTCGTATCGTTTTATGTTATCGTTATCGTTTATGCGTTATCGTTATCGTTAATCGTTATGCGTTATCGTTATCGTTTATCGTTATCGTTATCGTTATGTTATCGTTATGTTATCGATTATCGTATCGTTATGTTATCGTTATCGTTATCGTTATCGTTTATCGTTATCGTTATCGTTATGTTTATCGTTATGTTATCGTTATCGTTATCGTTATCGTTATCGTTATCGTTATCGTTATCGTTATCGTTATCGTTACTCGTTATCGTTATCGTTATCGTTATCGTTATCGTTATCGTTTCGTTTCGTTAGTTATCGTTTATCGTTATCGTATCGTTATCGTTATCGTTTCGTTACTCGTTATCGTTATCGTATCGTTATCGTTATCGTTATCGTTATCGTTATCGTTATCGTTATCGTTATCGTTATCGTTATCGTTATCGGTTATCGTTATCGTTATCGTATGTTATGTTATCGTTATGTTATCGTTATCGTTATCGTGTATCGTTATCGTTATCGTTATCGTTATCGTTATCGTATCGTTATCGTTAATCGTTATCGTTATCAGTTATCGTTCTATCGTTATCAATTATATTATCATTATCATTATCATTATCAATTATCATTCTCATTATCATTATCATTATCATTATGATTATCATCTATCATTATGCATTATATTACATTATCAATTATCATATCATTAATCATTAGCATTATCATTATCATTATCATTATCATCTATCATTATCATTATCATTATCATCTATCATTATCATTATCATTATCAATTATCATTATCATTATTCATTACATTATCATTATCATTATCAATTATCATTATCATTTATCATTATCATTACATTATCATTATCATTATCATTATCATTATCATTATCATTATCCATTATCATTATCATTATCAATTATCAATTATCATGTATCATTATCATTATCATTAATCATTATCATTATCATTATCATTATGATTATCATTTATCATTATCATTATCATTATCATTATCATTATCATTATCATTATCATTACTCATTATCGTTATCGTTATGTTATCGTTATTCGTTATCATTATCAATATATCATTAATACATCATCACATTATATCATTATCATTATCATATCATTATCATTATCATTATCAATTATCATTATCGCATTATATTAATCATTATCATTCTCTTATCAAATTATCCATTATATTACATTATCTTATCATTTATTAAAATAAATTATTATTATTTATTACGTATTGGCCATTTCTTGAGCCCTTGCACAATTCTCTTCTGCGGTCTAGTCATATTCTATCTGAAAAAAGAGAGATTAACGTGTTTAATTATGGGGATCAGCTTTTCATATGTATTCCTTCTAAGGTTATTAAGCCTTAATCATGAGGTGATTCATGGTGATCTGAGGATGGAATCATTCAGGTTGATCATGAGGATGTTGATAGGCGATCGCGGCTTTTTTCAATTTTCCAGTCCATTCCCCTGTATGACTGAGAGAAAACCATGAAAACCTACTCAGGATGCGCCCAGGGATGGAAACCCAAGGCTTGCGACTGCGAACTGCAAGTGGGCCATTCACTCTATTATTATTATCGATTATTATTATTATTATTTTCTTCAAAACTCAGAGAGTTCAACGAAAATGATTGTGATGATGAAAATGATTATTGATTAGTTATATGGCCATAAACCAAGAAAGATGTAGTGAAAGTGTAGTGTAGTGGAGTGTAATGTAGTGTAATGTAGTGAAGTGAAGTGAAGTGAAGTGAAGTGTGACAGTAGGTGGGGAGCAAATCTAAAATGCTTAAAGAGGCTAACTTTAAAAATCACATTGTTTTTTATATTTAAAAACAAACTGTGTACTGGTTATTTAATGTATATTAATATGTGCATGTTTACTAGGTGTTAACTAAATATATTTCATTTAAATGTAGGCCATGTATAATCTGTAGGGCAAGTGTGTGTGTGTGTGTGTGTGTGTGTGTGGTGTGTGTTATGTGTGTGTGTGTTCGTGTTTATGTGTGAAGTGAGAGTGAGAATCATGTATGGAATGTTTGTATGTATGTATGTATGTATGCATGTGTATGTATATATGTGTATGTATGGGTGTTATATGTGCCATAATGTATACAGGTTGTGTATGTTTATATATTGAGTGTATATCGCTCTAAAGAAATGTAGTGTAATTGTTTTTATATGGTATTGTTTTTTGTTTATAAATGTTCATATATTGTAAAAACTTGTAGGGTTTGTGGCTACACCTGGCAATCAGCCAATTGTCGCAAATAAACATTAACTATTATTATTATTATTATTATTATTAATTATTATTTTATTATTATTATTATTTATATTATTTGATCCTGCACCATTTCTAAGCGTCTTGGCTCTATCTGTGGTGAAAATTAAAAGAAAAAAATGTGTAGTCATTTTTGAGAAAAAATTGTTTAAAAACTGTCTCCATTTCTAGCACAAGCAACCCACGTGGAATGTCTAGTATTACACCTCCTAACAAAGCTTCACAATTACGTACATATTAAACAACTAATTAGTAACTAAAAATGTTTTGCGTTTTCTTTTCAAAACCATGTATTAGAAGAAAGTCAAAAATTCATTTGAATCAATATTGCACTAGACATCGTGCCTGAACCGGCAAGAGTCGCTCAGATGCTCAAGACTCAAATGATTTTCGCTCCTGACTTCATGGCGAGCGAAACCCAATTGCATTGAGCTGCCATCTAGCGGATTTTTAGTCAACTGTCGTGGTGTTTGAGAGAAATTGTCTGCAGGACTAGTACTCAAATAGCCGTTCGTTTCCTTCAACGCGCGCGGTAAAAAAATGTATTAACTGATCGTATTCATGAGCCAATGAATTTAGGCGGCTCAAGTTTTGGATGAGATGTATTCTGTTTGACTGTTAATATGATATATGTGCATTTAAACAAACAGTGAAATAAAAAGCACAATAAATAATAGTCTTCTTATATTTCCTCAGCTATACGAAACATACTAGAATCCCTGAGATAAAAATTCCTGTTTTTACCAAGATTTCTGAAAAGCGTGACACCAAGGGAACCCGCCCTGAGAGCGAGATCACTATTAATGAATATTCCAATTATATTGCTTGGGGTACGAAAATGTACTAGCACAAAAATGACTCATGTGTATGAGAATGCGATATTCGCATTAAAAGAGCGAATTAGGCACCAAAGAAATTATACCCTTACCCTCATTCGGCTCAACAGGACAAGAAAATGACGTAAATTGTGCCCCCTCCGAGTTTACCACCATAAACGCTGAGGCGGTCATGGCGCATTTTGGATCTGAGAGCCGAAGAAGGTGCCTTGGCTGGAGGGACCTGACCATGAGCCCTCAGAAGGAATAGTTTGAGATCAGAATGGCAGAAAAATTTGACATGCAAGTTGATCAACATCCTTACAGGAAATGTGAATATACATCACAGACGATAAGCTTCCACCTCATTGTATACACGCACAGGTTCACAATGTACGTTTTGGCTTACGAATCACTGCTTGATATTGTAAAAAATGTTTGAAGAGATATTTTTAATGAAATTTAACGGTTACATTAAACTTAAAATAGTTTTAAAATATTTTTCAGATACCTGAAGAAGGGTCGAAGGCCTCAACCCGAAACATTATTTTAATAAGATCTTATTATATTTATCTTAAAGACTCTAAGATCTTATATCTAACCTTATATATATATATATATATATACTATATATATATATATAAAGAATTTTAATTGTGATGTGTGGTAATTTTATTGAAAAGTAGACGGCTATTAAAAAGAAAGAGTATTACATAAATTGTTGTGAACAAAATATATTATTCATACATTTGACACCCATAAAATATTAAGTACATTCACTCCACAGCAATAAAATGTCTCTATTATGCATTTCATACAGCTAAGAGGAGGAATACATGCGATTTTCTCCTCATTTTTTATCAATATTCAATTCCTCGTTTCGAAATGAACTTTTTTCTGACAAGTGCTCAATATAACAATTATCGTCATTCGCATCTGCAGATATAGAGATATCCGCATATATTACAATGAAGGCACGCTATAAAATCATTTACACTACAATTCAGATACACAAACACATCAATACTCATGAAAATGTTAAAAGAAATGAACATTGAAAAATTTTGTGTCGATGCATATTTTGGAGAAAGTGGATTGATAGATATTCTTTTCCCAAAACCATGTTTATTCAGTACCCAATATACTACGCATACAATACGGACAATTATATTTAAAATATTTTGACGAGAATTTGAAGCCTGGTTTATCGTTTTCGCAGAAGGTGCGTAAACTCTCATGCCAAACACCAATGGCGGGACATCAATATAGCGAATTGTACAGTATGGTATTCTTGACAGCATTTTTAAACGGCTGGGTTTCAGCAAATACTTTAGACCTTCTGCCAACACGTCTAAACAAACACGTCGAAATTAATGACAAAAAATGTCCAGCCTCTCTTTCGAAGATCGAGTCATTCAGAGGGCAGCAATTTAATGTGGGGATCGTAGAGGAATCACTGGACTATTCGTGGGTAAGTAAAGAAAGAAAGAGAATGTACGATGGTCCGATTTTTCAATTTTTGCAAACCCTTCAAGACAAGACAGGCATTATCATTCATAAGAAGAAAGCTCGCACATACGATGTTTTGTCTACAGCACTTGTGAAGGGTGAAACTGACTTCTCAGCGACCTTCTTGTATTACACTATTGAAAGGATGATTACCCTTGATGCAACTGCGGCTGTGGTTGTCGGTGAATATTGCTTGGTGATGAAACGTGCCCCATTTTTGCCATTTGGAATGGTTCTTCTTTCACCGTATGAAACTTCCACATGGGCGACGTTGTTGCTATCCTTGGGTGTTTTGACATTGTTTTGGTGTGAGGTACAAGATTATCGCTTAGTGCGCGACAGATATATCAAGACTTCATCGGATGACAGAATAGTGCACGCTATCTTAGATGTAGTACAAATTATGCTCACTAATTCCAGTTCGCGCGTTGTGCAAACGAACGCGCAACGTGTCATGTTGTCAGCCGGTCTCTTGGTCGTTCTTGTGTTAAGTAATGCGTACTCCGGACAACTCTTGGGACTTCTCGCAAACCCACCTCGAATGAAGGATCCCCAAACTTTGCAGGAAGCTGCTCGTATAGTGGACACAGTATACATAGCAAGAAACTTGAAAGCAGCTCTCAGAAGTGCGAATGAAAACGGTTCATTAACAGAACTGATACAAAAAACTAAACCAAGAAAGTCAAGTTTACATAGTGTACTTCAGAGAATGGTGAAGGAAGGAAAAGAAAGCGTAATTACGAGTTCGAGACACTTTTTTTACTTTGCCTACTACAAAGAATTGATGGACAAAGGAGGTCGAACTCTGCACAGCGTACCAGATTGCTTCTTCACCCCTGGTCATCACAGTTTCTTGATTCGTAAAAATTCCACTTTCTTCGAGGTATTAAACAAGGTGGCATTGATGAGTACTGAAGGAGGTCTCTTCGACCAATGGACGCGATCGCAACGCCATCGTATGGACGCCAACGGCGTCACTGTTCCTGAAAGCTTCTCCCTTGATGAGCTCCATGCACTGACTTTAGAACAACTAAGTGGCTCATTCACCGTGTTGAGTATCGGTTGGGGCATAGCTACAGTGATATATACGCTCCAACTACTGTTGCCGATGATTCACAGCATGCGTACATGGTTTACTTACTGAAGAAATTCTAATACTTATCGATAATTTTAATAAATACCTAAAATGTCATATTTACAAAAGAAATAAGTACGAATAGCATTCAACTTAAAATTTTTAAGCACATCTTTTACGCTATCTACGTCACAAAAGGTCGCTATCTTCGTCAATTCACATTTTCATTCCAAATTTTGGTTCAATTTGTTTTCTGTTAGATTTCTGTAGTCAAAAAAAAACTGTAAGTAACGTATGGGGGAGAAGATCATCTGTGCATGTTTTCTTGAATTTCAGAATTCCTTTCCATCATTTTAACTGTAAATAGTGGAAGGATGAGTAAAAGTTAAAGATAAACAAATAAATTTTAAAAAATTAAAAAATGCGAGATTAGCAATTAAATATTCCTATTTTGCTAAAATAAACATAGTTTATCTTTCTGATGATCAGTATAGTATCTAATAGTTTAAAAACAGTTATTCATCACATAAGATTTTACTTTTGGCTTAAATTTGTGAACCTACTTCAATTATTTAATGTCATCTGGCTGCGTTGTAAAGGATGTGGATTTCTGAGATTGAGCTGTTGATACTGACACATAATGATCTGCCTAATTACACAACTACACACGTGATTTCTACGACATATGTTTTTGGAATGTAATTTCAATAAATGTATTTTAGACTCAATGTTTGAAATAATGAGAGCCTATTAATTGAGTTTTTAAGGAAAGAAGCTTCTGACAGGAACAAATTTGATTATTTGGAAGAAATTAACATGGGTATTGGAGTAGTTGCAGAAGTTTAATATTGTATTGCGGTTATATTATACACCGTAACATTTTCCAACATGTTTTAAGGTTTTAGAAGTCAAAGCTTCAAATATTTTTTCGAATTCTAACGGCCTCTTCATTTTCTATCTATCAGAAATGCCGTCCCTCCTAACTAGGTTCTGGATAACCGCCAGAATACGACCTTTTTAGGTCTCCCCAACTGCCAATTCTTTCGAGAGACGAGCTTGGGTAGGATACTATCCCATACGCTACGTTCCGTATTTCAGAAAACATGTGCTTTCGTTTTCTTTGCTAGGATAAAAATTTCAAGTTTGGTACACCATTTTTATTTTTTGGACAAACTTCCATAAAACAATCCACGGTTTACAAACTGGATTTCACGATAAATATATTGAATTTTCGAAGTTGCGTTGACCGGGACGCAGTTGCATAATTTCATTAAATACAGTTTTGATCATCTCTTGTTAATAACTGAGAAAATATGTCTATTTTTACAGACGTAATAAAAACTACTTTCGACGATTCAACTGCCGAATTGCAGGTGAAAACTCAATTCGTATATAGAGAGTTCGCAAGAGATGCTCAACGAAATAATCAATAATATTATTTAATTAAATAATACTGAGTATTTTATTTTTATTATTTTGGGTCAAGAACATAAGATATATATTATTTAACTAGTTACCATATAAAATGGTTTTCAAAAAAGTAGCGCACACTGCTCAAGAACAAATAAAATACTTTCTTATAACAAAGCAAAAAGGTAAATATTTCAACAAAAAACAGTCTTCACAAATACTGCAAGAACAAAAAAATATAGAATTGTGGGGTGTAGAACAATACAGCACGGTAATTTAGAACATTCAGAACAACGATTCTTTAGATACCAAAGATATCAAAGAACTTGCTGCTGAACTTCCAAATATTGCAATATGTATGTATTTGGCATTTTGGGTCGGTAGTACGACTTTTCCGGCCAGCTAACGGTGTCCCGCATTCCTGAGACTACTTTAATATCCGTGCTTGGGGACAAGAGCGACTTGTAGCGAACATGATTTATTAATGCAACATGTGGATTGCAAATATTTAATGGCATGTGGCATCTTCTTTGGAGCTTTTCAGTTGGTACGCACAATATGAGAATAGGCGAAGGAACATAATCTTTGTATTCGATTTTTTTAACAGACAAAATTGAACCTGTTTAACTTAAAAAATTTGAACTTTTTCCGAATTACTGGGCATCTAACGAGACTATTAATACCTCATTATGCGGTTTCATAGATTTCTTGCAATTTTTGCGTATATTGGAAATCAGTAATTATGAAATAACCTCTTATTATGTAAAGTGTTAATCAAGATGATAATTGATGTCTTTAAGGTTTAATTTGTTCAGTTTCTTACGATAACGTCACACCAAAAGTAAAATTGAACACATTTCTGTAAAGTGAACTCTCATAAGCAATGTCACTGTCATTCGATGCTTTATCGCTCATTGCAACGTGATAAAAATACGGTATGCGAAATTTGATTTGTAAAATAACACCTTATTTCGCGATTTTGTGTCATTCCTTTGGGTTATTTATTGTTGTTTTCTATTCTCTACCATTTTTGAATAGAGACAAACAAGCTGATTATTTTCTATTTGTCCAGTCTCAGAAAAAAAAATTAGAAGTCCTTATTATGTAAATGAAAGGAATTGTATATTAAATCACACAAGAATACAAAAATAATTTGGAGACTTCATTTGGCACTGCAAATAAATTATTATATTATTTTTAACCGAACTCTCCGTTGTTGTTTTTTATGTGATGCACATATCGATTTGTCGCACACTGTATTTTATTAAATAATGTTTTCATAAACAGTTTACTTTACGTCTTCAGACTATAGTCGATAAAATCGACCACTTGCTCTGCGGTATTCTCTTCACAATTGTTGTTTGGGCTTTTACTGCAATGGGTAGTAACATTCTGGCGATAGCTTTGATGCTTTCTGTTCAGACGCATTTCCACCAAGAAATCTGAGAAAAAGAATCCCCAAACACTCCGCATTATGTTCACTATTTTTTCAAAAAATAGTGGACCTTTTTATATTCAAAAGCTTTATGATGAAATGGTACGTAATGTAAAACTGATGTACGTGTAAGAGATGGGGAATCGCGTTTTCTCTTTTTTTCATAAGTGAGAATGAGACAAAGATGGAAAATCTGTTCAACTCGATTCTCCAAAAAGTTATTAATCGTAGTCAATTGTTTCACAAGACAATTCATATAAATTTCGTTAAATATACAATTATTTAATACTCTTTTTCTTAACTTGCATTTACCTATTACCTTTATATTATACTTTTTTTCTTAATAGGATAGCTGTGTGTTGTTTTTTTTAAATACATATTATTATAATATATTTGAGGTTTTGAATTTTAAGTAAAATGTTCAAGTGATTATTTTAATGTGTTAAAATGTTTGTAACAATATATAATTTATTGGAAATTTTAATTTTTTTTACTATTTCTCCGCGCCGCTTGTCCGCTATTTTTGACCGCACGATAAAAGGTATTTACCTAAACTTGAAAATTATTTTTGGAATTTAAGAAGAGTCTTAGATTTTTTGATATTGTACTGTTCGTTGTAAATAAGCACTTCAGGACAATAATAAATTAATTCCAGCATGCAGCCATTATTTATTATCTTAAATAGTTTACAATATGTCAAACGTGTACAGTTCTAGTCCCTTCTATATATTTATGTTCTTAATTAATGTAAATCCAATTAAATCGTTCAAGGTGCACACAAAGTTTTAACAATAAGTATATTTCACATTACGAATTCTATCATATTTCTCACCTTCTTTATCAAAGTCCTGAATCTCGGAATTTTCTGTGGCTCTTAGCTGGCGCACTGAGTACACAAACGTACACACATACACACACACACACGCACACACCCGAAATGTTTGTAATAAACGTGCGGTTTGATGCTCACTCAATGAGAAACAATAATAATTGATTATTAATTTCAAGAAATCATATATTTTAAACCACTCAAACTTTTTGTAATAGAGAAGACAAATTAAAGCGTTTATCGAATTGTCAAACAACAGTATAAATTCCTCAAATTGAAGTAAAAGATGAAACCCATTGGCGGATTTTATGAATTCTCGACAGAAGTACTTCCAACGAGAAGATGATGACGGCAATGAGCCAGGCAATTCCTAGCACACTGAATAACCCGCTAAGTTGTTCAACGCTCAGAGGATAGGGCTCGTCATGGGAGACATTTTCAGGAACGGTGACACCATTGGCATCCATGCGGTGCCGTTGCAATTGAATCCAATAATTAAACAAACCACCTTCTACAGTCAACAACGTCACCTTGTTGAACACATGGAAGAATGGGGAATGTTTACGAAGCAGAAAACTATGATGACCAGGTGTGAAGAAGCAATCCGGAACACTGTGAAGTGTTCGTCCATTTTTGTCCACTAATTCTTTATAGTAAGCAATATAGAAAAAGTGCCTCTCATTGTAAAATATACTTTCTTTTCCTTCCTTGGCTATTCTCTGAAGTAGGCTACGAAACCTAGGTATTCTTGTATTAGATCTTCGTATGAATTCCATTGATGAATCGTTTTCATTCGCTTCTAAAAGAGCCACTTTCTGAGTTTCAAATAGGTAGACAGTTTCGAGAACTCGAGCTGCTTCCAGCAAGTTTTCGGGGTCCTTGTGTCGCGGTGGGTGAGCCAGCAGTCCCAGTAGCTGCCCGGAGTATGCATTGCTCACCACAATGGCGAATAAGAGAAAAGTGGCAAACGCGATTCGTTTAGCGGTTGTTTCCGCCACTAGCGTGCAGGAATTAGTCAGTATGAATTGAACTAAGGCTAAGAAAACATGCATCAAACTACCATTAGATGAAGTCCTGATCAACGTTCCATCCACCCAGTGAAAACACATTATGACATTCCAAAATGCCGCGAAAGCAGAAAAGGATAACAACAAGATTATCCACGTAGACCTCTGGTATGGCGTGCGAAGAATCATTCCGAATGAGAAATATGGCGCACGTTTCATCACCAAGCATAGAGCCCCGGTGGTCACAGCTGCGGTGGAATCCAGCATGGTCAATCTCTCGGCAGTGAAATACAAGAAGGTCACAGTGAAGTCAGCTTCTCCTGTCGTAAGTGCTCTCAACAAAAGATGAGAACCCGGGACAGTCTTTTTATGCATGATGATTCCCGTCTTGTGTTCAAGTATTTCCAGAAATTTGTAAATGGGGCCGTCGTACACTCTTTTTCCTTCTCTGTTTACCCATACGTAGTCTAGTGGATTTTCTAAGAAAACCACATTGAATTGCTGTCCTCGTAATGAATCAATCTTTGAAAGTTGTGCTGATATTCGTTCCTCACTAATTTCAATTTGTTTTGTTGTACAATTAGGCAGAAGATCACGAGTGGTTGCCAAAACCCAGTGGAACAAAAGTTCTGTCAGAATCGACATTACATGCAGTTCTACGTTTTGATACCGTACCATGATGTTATGCTATATAAAATGATTCACTACGTATGATCTTTAAAGCATTGCCTTACAATGGAAAATTCTACTAACAATATTTAAAAGACGAGCAGTATATTGTTTTGATTATTTAAATATTTTATTAATTGCTATGTATTATTTTAACACTTTAAGAAAACCGGTTGACGATAGAACTCAAGACACATTCACACACCTAAATGAAGCTTGCTGTGTGCTGTCAAGCGTGGCAATGTTACCAATCGTGGATGATATTAATGAGTATTGATAAGGACTTGTCTCTGGCTCGTATTGTTAATTATATTATGGCGTGTTTCGTGATATTGAACTGTAATAGATGCGAAGCGGATTAGGCGGATACTAATTATTTTCCCCAATAGTAGACCAGTACATTGAAATTTTAAGTGGATTATTAATGTATTTTTATTGTAGCTCAAATTTGAAGTGCAAATATTTTCATTGCAGGAAAGTCAAATAAATGTTCTGATCAGGTATTAATTGACAATTTTGAAATTTCTTCACGTTGGAGGATTTCCAAGGAGTTTTCTTGACAAGCAGTCACTCGTGTCTTTCCCCAACACCTCGTGTTCGCAGGACGGGTTCGCAGTTGCTATTTGAACATGCTCCGAGAACATTTTACAAATCTCGTGAGATTATTGGACTGCTGGTTTCTTCACCTTTCCTGACCTCGATTCAACAGCATCACATGGTATTCTGATCGTGCTTTTGTTTATTTCTGCGCAGTATAGCAATGGGGTAGTCAGAATTACGCAGTTGCGAATGACAATTTGCTTTGAAATACAGTAGTGCGGGGGTTCTGGCTACTGTCGGGTTCCTTCTTTTTGCCGAGCTTTGTTTCTCATCTGGTGACACTGACCTTCACTGTGAGAAGTGAAGCGCCGGTGGAGAAAGCGGGTTATGGACGCAAACGAACGCACTTATGACTGAAACCGTAGCAGCTCTCCTATTGAATGCTCACGGCTCCTATTGAAGCAGGGAACCTCCCCTGCGGTTTCTCGGGTGACTTGAGAGGTGACGAGCTTCAAGTGAGACGACGCGTGGGTGAGAACGTTTCAACATTGAAAGGTGTCGACAAAGCGAGATACATTGCATTGTATATATATGGTGATTTTTTTTTATCTTGAGACAACTAAATATCTTGATAACTAACAATCGTATCAAAAAATGTTTCGAATAAAATTTATTTGTCTCGGAGAGGCCTATTGGATGATACCAATCTCGACCTGCCACCTCCACCTCCTGGGGGTCGGGGTAAGGCAACTTTCGAATTTCAAATGAGAATTGCTATTTATTATGGCGGATTCGGATTCTCCGAAGAAAAAAAAGAAAAAAAAAGGTAGATTTTGTTTGAAACATTTTTTTTGGTTTTCCAGTAGATGGCACTGTAGTAATCGTAGAAAACAAGTTTTTGCAATTCTGATGAAATTGCACCAGGAGGTGAAAAAACATGGTGTTTTTAAGAATCTTATCTAGTACTCAAAAGAATGAGCACCCACCACCCACCATTTGTTTATGACCTCGTAGAATGGGGAATTTGTACGTATCATGAAACTGTGGTAATCTGGTGTGAAGAACAACCCTGGTACGCTTGGTATGTGTGTTCGACCATCCTTTGTCTATTCTCGCTGTTTCACATTTTCTGAAAACTGTGTTAAAGATAATAGTTCTGTTTATATGTGTAATATCTTAGATACCGAATAAACATGATTTCGGGAAAACAATATCTAACAATACACTTTCTCCTTGCTTCGAAATGTGTTTCTGCCTTTGCGTTTAACACGCAATACAATTATACCATGTTAATCTCTTTAAATGTTTTCATCAGCATCGATGAGTTGGTATATCTGCATTGTAGTGTAAATGAATTTATAGCGTGTCTTTAGTGTATTTATCGATATCTATATATCTACAGATACGGCGGACGATAATTTTTATTTTGAGCACTTATTAGAAAAAGTGTATTTTCAGGGGAGGAGACGAATTTATTATTATGTAGCTGAATACACCAAGCCTGTAAACTGTCTCCGATTCTATTGGATAATTTGAAAATATAGTCCTAAAAACAAAAAAAAACAAAAACAAAAAAAATACTGGTTTGGTCACTCGACTGCAGGTTACAGACTATTCTAAACGCGAATATTTCGTTTGTTCGCAAATACAATACGGACGTGCGGATGAAAGAGGTGGGACATCTCAAGAAATACTTGTCCATTTGTTCAAGAATTACCCTCTAACCGCACGTTGCAATCTCTTTCCTGTACTGATCAGTCAAAACACTTGTGTTACTTTTCAATTATTATTCAAACATGATATAAACAATCATGAAAGCCCAGGATTGGGTGTCTTCAAAAAAGTTTACATTCCACACTCCAAAAGAGTTACTCCAACACTGTCTTAGCGCGCAAACATTTTCCTCAACTTCACGGTCACTTCATTCCGCGATTCATCTTCCATAACTGTAGTTTGTTCTCCCGTCTCTCATAATGAAAACTCAATGTTCAGGTTTTTTGCATAGAAAATACGCGACGACGTGTATCATCATATCACATCGATCTCTAACACACAGTCGCTAAGATTCGAAGAGTAAAATGATCATGTTTTGAGGCCGGTGATTTGCATACATGACCCACTCCCGAAACCTCTACTTATCTATGTAAATATTCAATGCCGTATGAACAAGTACACATTTTCAAGACCAAGTACACAGTGATTAAACATCGCCCACCTAGTACACAAGTTTTTTCTTTCGCTGCATCCGGTTTTTCCTTTCCAGAGGTTGCAGGTTCCACCTCCAACGGAACTTTCCGTTCGAACTAATCAGCGCCTTCCTCCCCTTGAACCTTGAAACATACGAATTTTGCCATAATTGTGTTTGCTTTCCCTCCTCGTGTCGCCAATTTTCTCCACGTATGTAACGCCCTGAGTACGGGAAACAACCGAACAAAGACTGGTACTGTGGGAAAGTGGAGGGCAGGTAGCGAGAGGGATAGATTCGAAATGAAATGACGCGACACGATACGTAGGCTACAGGCTTTCCTAAAAAAGTTATTGTAACAAGCTGTTTACAATTAAAATGTTAACGCACAAATAGTCGTGAGGACATAAACCAGAACTTTTAACAAAAACATAAAACTCATAATTATCGTTAACATAAACGTGACGTCAGCCATTTTACGATATAACTAATTGGTACAAAATACTCCGCACAGACATTCTATACACAATCAAACGACAGTACGAAAAATGAAAGCGATAGTACTAGGGATTACAAACATTTCTTACGCCATAAGCGCGTCTTTGGTGGGTTTTGTAAACTATCGACTAATAAACTTCTTTCTTCCTTTCTCGAAAAATGTCAGTCGAGAGTTTTTAATGTTATGTAAAAATATAACTAAATTCATATATCTATATCTCACTCAGACGCAACTCACCTGCAATTTGTTTTTCCTCCAGCCATATTGTTCTCATTGTTTTGAATTTTACGCCCAGAAAAAAATTCATTTTTAATGCGAAATTTTAACTCGTTGAGATAAAAAGAGGCATATATGAATGACAAATTAATACTTCGTGTAAAGAACGAACCCACAGCAATATATCAGACTCGCATTCAAGACAGGTATTAAATAATGGATCATTTATAGAACTACGAATCACTCGACAGTTGAGAACAAATACGCGATCCACAGAATACTTTTTTCAGAGTTCATTTCATTTTTGACATTGTTTATCAAGTGGTGGAACGTTGTCAATGTTAAATATCCTCTAAAAAGTAGGAATCGCAGAGATGAATTCTGTGATCCTATACACTCTGTGGATGATAAGAAAATTCAATTTCTTATAGAATTTAGTGAATGTTTGAAATCCTTGCTACAGTTGCCAACTCCAGGGAAATTTACTAATGAAACAAGCACAGCTCTTCTTCCCATTCCAGTAGCTATACTTGAAATTTCTAAATTTCTTCTTACAGAGTGCTCAAGTACGTTTTGTTAGGCAAAATTCAAACTTATAGTTTGAAGGCTCGCTTTGGGCAATAGACGAGTGGAGGAAATTATGTGCCTGTAGGACACGTTTTGGAATCAGAAAGAAAGCTCGAAATTCTTAGCTTGTCAGAAATAAAACTTGTTTAAATGTTATAAAATTCCATTGAAAATATTTGTGGAATCTTGCAGTTCTGCAATTAATGAACAGTCTTCTGCTTAAACAATAAAAACATGTGAGGATGTAATATGGTTGCATGCTATGTTGGTTGTATTACTTCCTCAATACTGCGTGATAAGAATTGTGAAAGTTGTAGATTAAATATTCTCTAAGATGAGCCAATGGAGATATAATTGAGTGAAGAAGTGTTTGAGAATTTTTCAATTATTATCAGAGGTGGCCTTAATTGTCCAGATCAACTTTCAGTAGATATTGTATTTGATGCATTCAAGATGTTCAATGTATTGATCAGTGAAAGATATGAGGAAAACTTTCTTGACATTGCTTGCTCTAAGAGTATTATTGAACAACTGATAATGCAAAAAATTGTAATATGTAGAGATTTACATTTAGTTTGCAAATGTGGCATTCCTCATAAAAATTGTTGATACATGTACAACAATTTCAAATATTTTACTGGTCAATTATTGTAAAATTAAAAAAGAAATTACAAGCAGTACTGTCCCAAGAAGCGGAAGACACAAACATTACTACCAAAATAACGTAGATATTTAAAAACATTTTAATAATGTATGCATTTTTGTGTAGGTAGAATATAGTAACTATATGATGCTCTCCATAAAATGACAAATTGTATATTATGAAATATTAAATGTCACTTATTTCAATATAAAAGTTTTGAATTTCTTATGTTTATATTAAACATTGCTTTTTCAATACCTATCTCCACATTGTAGAGAAACGTACTTACCTTCAATTAGTTTTTACGTGTTGCAATTTTTGGTATAGTATAACCAACTTTTAATTTGGACTAGGTAAGTTAAGGTATTACTCAATTAAAAGTTTTCTTGATACAAGAACTCCCTAGCTCTCACCCAGCGCTGAATAGCACGGCACGTTGACATACTTAGGTTCGACACGGAACGGCACATACCAGTTTTCAATGCTGGAAACAACCACCTCGTTCTTTCAAAAGCATTTCTTGTAGCACGCTTTGGGGCGTTAAGCTCATGCCCACAGTCGGTACGCATTTTTAAGCCTTGACGTACCCTGGGCCCTCATCACCCCGCACCCTCCGCGGTTGAATATCAAGAAAACTTGTGCGTATAGCAGGTTATGTTTTAGGCAGTCACTCCGAACTGTCAACTTCCACCACTTTGGGGGCCATTTTGTATCTAGAGTCGGGACTGGTATTAAAGATATAGAGAGAGGAAGATGTATAGAAAGGAACTTACATAACCTCATAATAAACGCAAAACAAAATGCTAAAGGAATCATTAAATACGATATCCACCTACTGGAAATATACTCAATTCTCTCAATAGTATTCGCTAACAAAGTTGTTTTAATCTGTCAATGTTCAGAGAGTAATTTTTCCAAGACACTCACCTCGAGTTCTTCTTCGATTGTGAGCCTTTCAATAGCACGACGATCATCAGACGTCTCGCCCGTACTAACCTGAAACAAAGACATAATTCAAAACATTAATGATACGAAAATATTTAAATTTACTCTTACATTTATAATAATCCGCCTTTGGGAACAGTTTTTCATTGGGTAGCGAGGAGACCGAGCAATCGAGAAGTTCTTTATCATAAAATAATGAAATAGTAAATAAAATATTTTTATCACCAACGCCATTCACAATTTTGTTGTTAATGAAAGCGAAAAACCTTAAGTAATGTAATAAAATATGTACAATATTCTTGAATGGGAATCGAAACATAATATTTACAGGGGTTTGAGATTGTTGCTAAGATGTAAACAACTTGGTTTGTTAATGAGTAACTGTATTCTTCTGATAATCTTCTGCACCATACGTCAATACAGTTTCTACTTTTTTTACTAAATAAATCTAAATCTTTATTAGGACGATCAAAGGTTTTTCTTGGGGCAAGTAACGTACGCGCTCTTGGCGGCGGTGCAGCATACTAAATGTCCGGACGTGATTAACAAATTTGTTATCATAAATTTTATTAGAAATTCAAATAAGATAAAATATTGCATTCGTCTATTAAGTAGTATCTTTAGTAACTAAGGGACGATACATCATTGGCTACATAAATTATCATAGTGAAATTCTTTTGTGCATCATTCTTGTAAATAAACGTGCTCCATAGCAACGAGCCCACTAAAACTAAACATTGCATTCAGACCGCGGCCACAGCAGCGGTCGTTGAAACACTGCAAACGAACGTTAAAATAGATAGTTTACGCATGAATGATTAATTTTTTAACGCATTTCACATGCATGAATGTTACTACCCTTACAGACTGCGGGAGTCGTCTCAAAATATTAGTGTAAAACGAAATGTGCATTTTAAATCGCCTGAAAAAACATGTTGAACCGGAAGAATAAATATTTCAAAAAAGTAGGTGATGTTCTGGTGCTCATGCATCATTGAACTTGTAACATCTGTTTGGAGTCTACAGTTCCTACTTCTTGAATCAACATTATATTCCATCAATAAACATGTTCAAATTTTATTGTGCACATAATGAAATATATAATATAAAAAATTGCAAAATCAATGAAAAGAGTGATATGTACCGTCATTGGAGATATATACATGTGATTAGGACTTGAAGTCCCTACTACACTGAAAAAAACTGCTACACATGCCTAATATCGTGTATGCCCTCGCGTAGAAGTGCCGCAATACGACATGGTATGGGCTGATGTCTGAAGTAATTTTGGAAGTAACTGACACCAAGAATCCTAGAAGACTACGAGGGGTTGAGATCTCTTCTAAACAGCTCGTTGCAGGGCATCGCAGATATGCTCAATAATGTTCATGTCTGGAGATTTTTGTGGGCAGTGGAAGTGTTTAAATTCAGAAGAGTTCCTGGTGCCACTCTGTAACAGTTCTGGACTTGTGGGCTGTCGTACTGCCCTGCTGCAATTGCTCAAGTCCGTCGCGAAGCATAATGGACGTGAATGGGTGCAGGTGATGCTTACGTACGTGTCACCTTTCAGCATCGTATCCAGACGTATCACTACAACTGCACACGCCCCATACCATCACAGAGCCTCTACCAGCTTGAACAGTCCCCTGTTGACATGCGGGGTTCATGGATTCATGAGCTTGTAGGCTGCAGCCATACTCGTACACGACCATCCACTCGAAACAATGTGAAACAAGACTCGTCAGACCAGCAACGTGTTTCCAGTCATCAACAGTCCAAAGTCGAAGTTCACGGGCCCAGGCGCGGCGTAAAGCTGTGTGTCGTGCAGTCCTCAACGGTACACGAGTAGGTTCGGCTCATATCGATAATGTCTCATAGAATGGTTCGCACGCTGACACTTGTTGGCCCAGCATTCAAATCTGCAGCCTGCGGAAGGGCTGCACTTCAGTCAGGTATAATGATTCTTCTTAGTCGTCATCGGTCTCGTTCTTGCACGATCTATTTGTGGCCGCAGCGATGCTGGAGGTTTGATGATTTACCGAATTCCCGATATTCACGGTACACTCGTGAAATGGTCGTACGGGAATATCCAAATTTCGTCGCCACCTCGAATATCCTATGCCCCATCTCTCTTGCACCGACTATACCACCACGTTCAAACTCACTCAGATCGTGATAACCTTGCACTGTAGCAGCTGTAACCGATCTAACAAATGTGCCAGACTTTGGTTGTCTTATATAGTCGTTACCGACCGGAACGCGGTATTCTGATTAGTTCCGGATCTTTTTATTTCAATACGCATGGCTGTACCAGTTTTTTGGCTCATCGGTGTTTGGCTCATCATCCAGATTCAACGATACAAACGCAAGAGAAGCAAAAGGTTTTAAGAAATGATTACTTGCTGCAACAAATAGGAGAGACGTTATCTTCGTGTGGTATCGTTTTTAATTACCTTCCTTTTGTATCGTGAAATCTTGTGTTGCCAAAATATAAAAGAACTTCTAGTTACGGTAAAAACTTCAAATTTTAACCAAATGTGTATTTCCGATGGCAATACATTCCTTGCTACTACTTTAATTTCTTTGAACATGTAGCAATGAAGAAATAGTATAAACGTGCATGTATAAACGATTTCGATGCACTTTGAATGGAAGTCAAGATTTTGTCAAAACACATCTAATTCCCAATGACAAAAAAAGTCTCACAAAAACGTTTATTTTATTTGGTTTCTATTTTGAAACCAACCTGTCATGTAGTCAAGACCGCGCCACTCAAGTAGTAAAAACGCATCAATAACCACATTCTCTGAAAACTTACTGGAATAATGGAACATTATGTACACACCTTTCCGATTCTTTGCCAATTTCATGTGGAGTCTCGCAGGGACCAATGTTGGGCCCTATTCTCTTCCTAGTACTGTACGTAAACGGTATGCCTTCGACGATTAGAAACGGAAGGAAAGTTCTCTTTCCGGATGACTCGAATATTCTTTGCAATAAAAAAAACAGTCAATAGCACAATATCAGATATTTTAAATTGGTTCCGTAATAACATAATAATATTAAAAGAAAATAAAATGGTTTCACTGCAGTTTTCCATTTCAAATACACAGCTCTGGACTCCACTGAATATGAACGGTGTGCCATTGACTGATGTTAAGGTACCAACACTTTTAGGTCTTTCAATTCAGTCAAACCTTAAATGGAACGCCCATTTAAGGTTTGAATTGAAAACTAAATGAAGTTCTTTATGCTACTCTTTCAGAATTTTTTCAAATTCAGTCAGCTCTCATACTGCTCGTTGTGTATATTTCGCAAACGTTCATTCCCGCCTGAGATATGACATGATATTCTGGGGAAATACATCTTATAGCTCACAAACTTTTAGATTACAAAAAAGAAATGAAGACTCTCTTGATTAATCTCGGTATCTTACCATTACTTTGGCTCATCATATATGAATCTGTGTTTTTTGTCAAAAATGACTCAAGGGCGGGAATATATTTTTAGTAAACGCTGATATCTATTACTACAAAACTCGATATAATAATCATATTCATCAGGTGACAGTATCAACAGCTCACTGCAAAAAATTCACATACAATACATGTACATTATTTTACAACACCTTGTCAGATGATTAAACGATTAAATTCGGTACAAAAGTTTAAGTCACAAGTATAATGTTTTCTGCTACACAACTGTTTTTATAAAACTACAGACTATATTAAAAAAAATACTGAGCATCCAAAAAGAAAGTAATATTAATTTTAACAACGGCATTTAGGTATTATTTACCATTTGGATTGTATAATTCTAAAGAACCTGTCACAAGTGTTGTAATTCAGCTTCTGGGTCAATGACCCGAATCTCGATCAGGTTTTCGTCCAGTTTTTTTCCTGATCCTTGAGCAAATGCTAAGATGTCCTCTTGTTTTGCTATTGGACATAAATGTAACTTCAATATAACTTCTCCCGATAGCTCGTCAAACACAGATTTTAACTGTTTCTGGCATAAATAAGTAAATAAATATAAATAAAACTTCCTGTGACAATTGAGATTTCTTTGAACATGGACTTAAATTAAATTTCCGCTTCGTATTTGCCGACTCCCGCATCAGTGCCCTTGCCAGAGAGAATATAAGCCTCTTGCTTGCCTTAGCGATTCATCCCCAACGGCTCTTTGCCAACGCACGCCTCACAAACGCCATCTGTTGAAGTAGCTCGGAACGAGGTTCTGGTGTCATTTGACCAAAAACCTACAAGAACAGGATTATTCAAATTAAATTTTCTTATGTGAATAGCAGCAATAAAAAGTGGCCCTAATATTTTCTATTTAGATAAGAGCGTATTCTCCCATAACAATTTCAATCTTTAAGTCACTTAAATAAAATGGAATAGCATTACTCTGTGCCGTAATTTTGTATTATTACGATTCTCCTTCAGAAAAGACATTTTCGTATTCGAGATGAAGATAATAATTTAATTTTAGACCCCCAAAAAGCACGAGAACTTTTCATTTTGTTTTTCTCTGATGAGCACCAGCTTCAAAAATACCAAGTTTTCTCTCAGCAAATCTGTTACCATTTTATTTTTGTAAATTGAATCTAGGAGACTTTCAAAGTCGCAAAGTAGCTGCTGTGTTTCGTTTCCTACAGTTTCCATCACAAGCCAGGGTCAAACATGCTTCGGAAGTCCCCCTATACTTTTGATGGGAAGTTATAGGTTCAACATTGTTGATAGCTTTAGTGGAACAGAACATAAAAATCTTCGTGATACCGGATTGAAGATAGTTGCTTTTAGACATTACTTTTTCTCATAAGAAATTCACACTTCGAAAGTAAATAGAGGTAGAAAGTAAAAATGAGGATAAATAAAATATATACGGAAAGTGTCTCCAAAGTTGAAGGTTGCATAAATTATGTGAGAGAAAATCGCGCCTATAAATGCATTTGTTTTGCAGAGAACATTAATATATCTATATTAAATGAATACTACATATCATTACAACACTGACATTTTCACTCAGATATTCATGAACAAGAAAGTAACACATACTTCAGTTGTACCTAACGCTTAGATATATCTGATCAACGAGCTACAATATTATATCTCGAATTTGATACACACTAAAAGCCATTGTTACCGCGCGCCGTTACTTTCTTGTTATATAACTAATATACCTCCACGAGCAGAATTGTATAGCACACAAAACGTGTCTGACTAGAGGAACCGTAAACTCAAAAGTAAACCGCTTACGTATTTACATTTAAATAAATTCAACTTCAAAGATGATATTCAAAATTCAAAAAAATAATGCCTCAAACTTTGTACACAAATTGTACAAAGGATTAAGGTTTTTCGATTCAAATTATTTTTAAAAAAATCAGACAAAACCAAGGCTATAGAATACTTTTGGTTCGAAGTGATTGCTCATTGGTACAAGAAGTGATTGCTCATGAAGAAGAAAAGAAAAAACAAAGAGCAATGTTTTGCAGTGAGTGAAGTATAGTATTGAATTTACATATTAACAGACAGCGTTTTAAATGAAGCAGGTCAGTACTCTAGTATATTTACAATAAATTGCATTTTCCTCCGAAGAATGAAGCAATAATACGAAAAATGATTTAATAGACATTTTTTCCAAATTGTACAATTGATATTAAACACTGTTTAAAAATAATATGTAACTACTTTCAGAGAGATTGTTGAATTACTATTACAGAAATATTCCTTGATTATGAAAGTATTATAAGTGAACTCCTTACGTCATTATAATCCTGAGATTTCTCAACAACACGTGTTGTGAATATTAAATGTATTTTAGTAAAATATTCAATACGAAGTTTAATAAAATACCTGTAATTTGGGACCCAAGTATGGTTTAGCCTGATTTTCTACATCAATGAAAAGTGTACCTTAATAAAATAACCGCTTGAGTCTTTATTTCTAAGTATTTGTATATATATTCAATTAAAGTAAAATTTGGAATCTTCCTTGTGCTTAAGTACTTTGAAGTTGACAAATATGTTTATATGCAAGAAAAGTAATAAAAGTAATAGGCCTATTTGATAACTTGCAGATTTGCTATGTATATTCCAAATAATTGACAAATTCTACGTCCATAAGAGACGAAATATAAACTGCAAACAGAATTACTCTGCATCATGTTTGAAATCAATATCGTTTCACTATATTATTTGACATACATAGTAAATTTTAGATATATATGTTATAAAGTTCGCTTTGAGCTAATGCTCGGTGGCAAAACATGATAACAATTAGATTAGATATTACTAAACATTATCAACATTTACAATTGGGTACATTAGAATTACGGATCGATATAAATAGTTCCAATTTATTTCTAGATAACTCTAATTTGACTTCTAGTTTACATAACACTTCACTACACTACGATATAAAAATAGTTAACAATGAAAGGTATACGTGAGGTAAAGGAAATAGGTTTCTGTAAGATTCTTAAACCTCGAAACATTGGTAAGATTCATCAATAATTTCCATTGGTCTGGTCGTAATTTGCCGGTGAATTCACGCTGCAGCGGTCATGACAGGAAGGATGCCGTTAACCGGCCCGTAGGAGCGACTGAAACAACATGAGGTTCTCTGTGCAGCTCACAGATGGCGCCGTGAAGCCCGCTACAGGCGCCGCACTCGGCAGGAGGAGAAACCACGGACAAGATCGTTACCTTGACCACCAGTGGGGGAATTTTCTGCGTATTTTTGTAACCAGCGTCAGCGTCCGTGTGGTGCCATACTGGGATGGCTCGTGGTGTGCCGGTTGGAGTTTAACAACTTAGTTACAGCGTATTCGCGTAAGTAAAAAGTGTTCTGCCTTTTAAATGTTCAATACGCTTTGTGTGTAATTCATTTTATTTGCGTAAAACGCATCATTAGACTTCGTTCATTGATTGTTATTGTTTGTGCGTATCCTAACCTAGAAATGTGTTATATCTAAAAATCGCTATTTTGCTTTGTGATTTTAGATTGGTTTCCCGCGGTATCATTTCTCGTGCCCAAAAGTAAACTATTTGAAGCAGTCTCGAACAAAAAGGCGAGTTTTCAAGAGCGTGACTTGCTTTATTCATGCCGCGAACCTGAGGGTTAGGTTGGCACCTTGAAAGAGAATTCCATAAAAGGAATGTTAGCAGCCCTGCTCAGAACTTGACAAACAACGAACGATTCTGCCCACCTTCAGCTGTGCCCCCGGTGTTCACGTCATTTGTATGTTTATACGTTTTCTGAGCGTATCGTGTAGAACAGCTATGTCGGCATGCCAGAAACCGAAAGTGGTGTTCGTGCTAGGCAGCCCCGGTGCGGGCAAAGGCACGCAGTGCAAGAACATTGTGGACGAATTTGGTTACGTGCATCTTTCCGCGGGCGATTTGCTACGCGAAGAGCGTAATAAACCGGGTTCGCAATATGGAGAACTGATTGAATCCCACATACGCAATGGATCCATAGTGCCCGTGGCCATTACTTGCAGTCTCATCGAGAAGGCCATGAATGACTCGCCCTCGAAGAAATTCCTAATCGACGGCTTCCCGCGCAACAAAGAAAATTTGTCAGGGTGGGCGGAGAGCATGGCAGACAAGGTGGACCTGCAGGCTGTGCTGTTCCTGGACTGCCCGGAGGAGGTCAGCACAAAGCGCTGCCTGGACCGCGGCGCGCAAGGCAGCGGTCGGTCGGACGACAACCCCGAGAGCCTGAAAAAGCGCTTCCACACTTACATGAACGACACGATGCCCATCATCGAGCACTACGAGAAGCAGAGCGTGGTACGGAAAGTCGACGCGGAGCGTTCGCCCGCGCAGGTATTCGAAGACATCAAGGGTATTTTCAATGCCCTTCAGTAGTCGCGGCGGCTCGCGCAGGACGCGAGAGTTGTCATACCGGTAGCACTGTGTCGTCTGTAGTGTGCGCGCTTTACGCCTGAACTCGATTATCCGTGAACGCACCGCCGTCGCCTTGTTTTATTTGACGTTTCTGTAGCTTGTGATGCGAAACCGCAAATGCAAATCTAATTTATTTTCCAGGTGTTTGCTTAATTTATCTGCCTTTGAAGGGTCATTCTAATGTAGGGTTTTTTTATTTTTTTGGAATATTTTACGGAATACTTTATACATATTGTTTGTATGTAACCTATTGAACACTTTTAAGCTTCTTGGCAAGTGGCATAGTTTAGGTGACCTAACTTATGCACTGACAGATCATTCATCAGAAACAGGACGTCAAAGTCTTATGCATTAGAAAATGTAGAAAGTTAGACGATTGTGTTTGTTAAAACAGAAATGCAATATGTAACGAAAATTAAGTCTTATTGTTAATAATGACCGATTTACTGCTGATTGTGAAAAATCATTTTCTAAGAAAAATGTTAATACGTTGATGATAGTAATGTGAAATGTTCCTCTTAGATGTTAGTGGATCTTGTTTATGTAGTTCATTCTGTTACTTTTACCCTTCCAATAACATAAGCTATAATTCACCTATTGTTTTTGCACAGATATGTTAATTTTTAAACAGGTTATTTTTGTATGTAGTGAAGTAACTCATCTTTGGTACTGTGTGTTTCAATGCTATACATAATTTTTATTTATTGCATTCTGTGAAAACATCAGATAATTTACTGTGATTTCACTGGATTTTATATCTGCTCCTTGTTGAGCTTTCCTGAGTCATCTGCATTTGATATCTTTGTTTTTAAGGAGTACGAGGGAACATTGCCAAATAAAAGTATAGTTATTATTTTTCAAAAGTATTCTCTTGTTTTTGTTTCAATAACCTATACCATTTCATACTTTATCCTCAATAACAGAAACATAACAAATTAAATTTGCTCATTGTATGACTAACCTAAATAAAATGTATAATTTATTTTTAATATTGAATGTCAAAGCCATTGTTTCCGTTCAAGGAAAAAAACAATAATATTGCAAAAAAAATTAGAAATTTAAGTATTGCTTTTTTTTATTAAATACATGCCTTAAAATTTAGTATTTGCAACAAAGTTTAATATATACCAACAATTTTGTCCTTGATAGTCATTTATACATTGCTTGGACACGAGTACACATTTTATATAATAGCATTCGAAAACATTACTTCAATACCCCTACAGGAAAAAAAAAGTATTGACCATTTTTAAGAATACAGCAGGATTTGAAGTACCTAAGGCAGCAGATGAGGTAAGTAAAATCTTTCCTAATAAACTTATAATTTTCACTAATGGAGACCAATTTGCATGGTGGTGGCATATCCCCAAAACAAACTTTGTAATTATCATTTAAAGACTTCATCTCATTTAAAGCAATATTCCCATTTTAATATACTTATTTCATGCTAACAATTAAATTCCTACTTTAAATTATTTTTGAGATGCAAAACTGAAATTTACTCCATCTTGCTCCACCTATCCCAGAAATTATTTATTTTATAGTTTAACTTATATTTCTATTATCTAGAGTAGAAATTCTTTATATTATAGATCCATGACTGAATTTCCAAGTAATCAAATTATGTGGTTGTGCTTTATATTTATATTAAATGGATTATGGGAACGTTGTAAATAGGTGTGGCACCCCTATCTGTGAAAATTTAGATCGCGTAACAGCGGCAGATATGAGGCTTCATATCGTATCGATCGGTCGCGCACTAGTTTACCTGCGATATGCTCTGGTACACGCCTTGGAAGCCCTGTCGACGTTCTGGTCATCCAGTAATGATTCTTCTAATCGTGAATTTCTTTCTATTAAACACATTGGCCGGCATTTGTACACTATTTCAAAAAATAGTAAAAGTTAAAATGAATAATTCAAGAAATGTATTTTATATTATTGAAAAATAATTATAGTAAGTGTTAAATTAGATTCTGTTTTATTATGCAGGAAATGTATTAACGGTTATAGAATCAAGTGAACAATCCAGAGATATCTCGACTAGTGTAATGAATTATAGGCCTATGTACTTAAGTTAGTGTTTTCTTGTGCAAATTTACATTATTGAGTTACGTATATTGTCTCGTTTAAAATTAACTTCATCAATAGTTAGCCCAGTATAATTTCGAATTGATTAGAAGATGGGCCTAAGGTAATTTGGATGTTAAAAAAGTATTTATGGCTAAAAGTAATTATGAATTTCGGAGAAAACATTAGTGGCCAGTCCCGTTAACCTGACTCCAATAGGATATTTATGGTCATTAGGATTTTCCATGAAAAAATATATTTTCAATGAAATAATCCTACGTTGTTTTTTTGTTTGCCTTGTTTAAAAACTATTGCCCTGCCTTTTTTCTTTCTCGTATACGGAGTAATATATTTAGTATAGTGAAAGTTATGTAATGCTGCGGAAAATCGATTTCGAGATTTCAACGGAAAAACACGTTGTGGGGTCCCGTGATAACGAAAAAGTGGTGTTTTTTTTCTTTTCTTTTCTTTCAAAATGTCTGTCTATCCGTCCGTCTGGTGTCTATGAACACTACTAGCGCCTAAACAATACGTAGGATTATTTTCAAAATGAAGAAACCAGGGTCAATCTGGCTCGAGTTGATTGTTCGAGATTTTGAGAAACATTCTACAAAATTTGGGAGTACTTTACATGATGCCCTCTAGATATTTTTCAACGTTTTCTCAAAAATTGCTCAATTTTTTTCCTCAAATTTTTTGTAAGAATAGAGTAAAATACACTTATAAAGGTAGCATGTGTCTGATTTTCACGGTTAACTCTGAATTTTCGAAAATTTCAGAGGTATTAATTTTCTTCGGTGTCTTCCTACAACTACAAAATTAATAATAGCATTTTTTCCTTCAAATACAACTTGTGTTCCAAAGTTCTTTTATTAAGATTATGTACAACTTTTAGTAGTCTTCGTGCAATATTTCGTGAAATATATGCAATTTGAAAAAAATACAAAAAACAGATTTTCTCAAAAAATGCTTCAAATTTTTTCTTCAAACTTTTGGGAGGGATAGTGCTAAATGTACTCTTATAAGATGACAAACACCCCATTGCTCTATTCTGTTGTTGTTTTAGAAATTACAAAAATATTTGTTTTACTTGTCTCTCATGTCGTTAATATTTATACTACCGGCAATTTGTTCACATTATTGTGTTTATAAGTAGGTGTGCTTTAAACAATGTTCTTAAGTTTTTAGAAAACTCACTTAGAAAATGCCATTTCCTCAGAAACGGCTCCAAGTTGTTTCCTCAAACATTTCGAACGGATAGTGCTAATTGCACTCTTCAATATGACGTAAAGTTTATTTTGGTGTATCTTTTTGTTTTTTTCAAAAATTACACGAATGTACATTTTTCAAAGATCTCTCACGCCGTTGGTATGCACATTTCCTGCTATTTGTAAACACTATTTTTTTATGGGTTAAAGTACTTAAAATTACTTCAAATGAAGGTTTTCGAACACAGACATTTTCTGTGAAAAAGAGCTTCAATTTTAAAATTTACAGTAGCGAGTAAACGCCAGTTTTTATAACCAGCTGCAAATTTTTCAAAGAAAATTGTCATTTAGGACGAGGTTTTACTGTTCTTTAATAATCTTAAAACAATATTTCCGGTCTACAATTAGGAGACCGAACAATTCAGAAAAATGTGGAATCCCTGATACCAAAAAATTGGACAATTTTTGTTCAGTTTGTAGTAAATTACTTCCTCTTAACACGATGTGTAGTCGGAATCCATGTTTTGTGGGCCCTTGATACCAAAAAACGATTGACAGCAAAGCGTCCGTCTGTCTTGTATGAGGTCAACGCCAGCAAACCGTTCAGATTCCCTCGCCGCTCCGGCCGAACGAGGCCGTGCAAGTTTGAAACTGGTATTTTGATTTTTTTGGGGGGGGTACTTTACATGAAGCCTTAATATTGGACAAATTTTCTCAAAAACGGATCCTATTTTGATTATACCCCGATACAGCAAAATACTTTAAAAAATTGCGAGTCACATTCTCGCGCAACTCCGAATTTTCGAAAACTGAATAGGTTCGAAATTTTTCTGTGTCTTCATACAACTAGCATATAAAAGATATAGATATTTTCGTTTGTGGAATCCGTTTGTTCATAATGAAATAGGATCATTGGCAATATTTCGAAAATACCAGTAGTTTTCGCGTAATGTGTGAAATACAGGCAATTCTTAAACAATTATTTTCTCGCAAACTGTTCCGATTTTCCCCCTACCTTTTTGTCTCGAATAGAGCAAAGAACGCTTATAAAAACGATGCAGGTTCCATTTCGGTAAACCCTCTGCGTTTTCGAAAATTGCGACAAAAAAATTAACATTCCAACATTACATTTTTCTTTTCCTTCTAAAAACGTAGATCCTTAAGTAAGGTCACGTACAATTGTTTGAAACAACGAATCGTTTTCGCGTACCTACTTTTTCCTTCAAGTAAATGCAATTAATAAAGCAAAACTCAACATTGACGGCATGCCCTCCCCGGGATGGAGCAGAGGACGCTTAAAAATAGGCGCTGGTCACATTTTCGATAAACCCTCTGAAGTTTCGAAAATTGCAAAAGTTGCAAATTATACTAGAAAGTAAGTGCAGTTGTAGCACTACTAGTTTAAAATGAGTAAATACATTGATATTCTCTTTGATCAAAGTCCACTTATTGTCTTCCAAGCCAACCAATTTAAAAAAATGTAAACTTTACTCCACTTCATGTAGAAAAGCATGCAATGAATGTGAAAATGTGGCTTCAAATTAGCTGTAAAGTATTCCAAAGAAGTGATATATATCGTGTTCTTACTTGGAAAATACACAGAGTTCGCATTTCGACATTCCTACATAAAATTAAATAATATTAAATATTTAGACCTATTTTTTTTTCTACGGCAGCAGAAATCATTACAATTCCTGTTATCACGAAGAATACTGAGCACACCTAAAAAATAAGTTTTCCTTCAGAGGAAACTCGCCGTAATACCGATCCGTCAGGTATTTGTCGTGAGTTTCTCTGTCGACGCGTCTGACCATCTTTTGTTCACAGACAGTATTCTCTTTCCTCGTTCCCGTCGCCGGATTAGTGGGGAGCCTTTCACTTGCTAATGAGGTCCCAGTGAAGAGTGACGCTCGACGTATTTCCACAAAATAATTGCCAGCGTTCAAAAATAGAGCGTTCTAACTGAATACAGTTAAGAAGATAGTTCATAAGAAGGAATTCGCCCTGTTCTGGAATTCACTCAAATGGTCACCTTAAAAATCGATGGCCTGATATTCGTTTATTTATGTAGATACGGGTATTTTTTCTGTATCAAAAGAAAGACAATATTTATTCTGTGGCTATTAATTAAATTGAACAAGATTAAGTGAAATTAGCACTTATGGAAAAGGATGTGAATTAATTCTAATGCTCGACGTACTTTCAAATGAACAAGCGAACGTTTTTTCTGTTCCTATCGCAGGGCTTCGTGTCGAGTCATATTGAACTGGAGATTTTCATTTCGAGAAAAATTCTGTGAATGGTTTAGACGTTATTGTTTTTCACGGACGGACAAACATACAGAGGGTTACACAGCTTGTTCTGCACTACTTATATTACTCGGTATATGTACGTATACGATGAGATGGCTCAGGGCATGAACCGATATCAGTGCAGTCCCTGTGACCGTGCGGTTCAAGGTTGGAGTCCCGACGGTGACAGAATTTTCGACATTAATATTTCAGCTATGTCGAATTTAGTCGCTGTCTGGAGGAGAATTCTAGCGACCGGCTGCTCTGATCGGCTGTTTCCGCGGTTTCTACGATCAACACCAGGCGAGTGCCGGAGCAGTACCGTAACAAACCGGCAACGGACCGCACACGATTTTTTTTAACCTCTTCCTTGTTCTACCCTCACCCCTTACTCACACACACTTACAGTAACATGCACTACACTACTACACATGCCGGGAGACCGATCATGAGCTGAGAGCTTGTCCCGGCTGAGGCGGTGCCTCGCTGGTGGGAGATACCTAGTTGAGGAAAAGTAGCCGACGGTAGGTCGGTGCCGGATCTCGCCACCCAGCGAGGGAAAACAACCGCCACCGCCCAAGCAAAAACATGCACTACACTTACGGAGCTAATGACCATAGTTGACGCGCCAGGAATACTAACAATCAATCCTTCATGTGCGTGTACGAGATAGTAAAAAGCGAGCACAAATTTCTGACTTATAACTTAAGCTTCTATGCAAGCAACAGGTACCGAATGATACCGAAATAGTCAACAAATTCTTTTTTCCATAATTATTTCCGTTTTATGGATAGATTTATCATACAAATCTTTCCCTGTTTAATAAATTTAGAAGGGTATCATCTAATCGGTAAACGTTTCCAAAGTTCGCTTAGATTTACCGATTTAACGACGTGACAAAAATATTTTTTTTCTTCTCGAAATCAGCGTGAGGTCCATGACAACTGTTAAACCGGGTGCCTCCGGCGTTCCTCCTTTTGATTCTCAAGATCGGGTTGGAGAGGCGACGTCCCGTCCATGTGCGTCGCGGAAGAAGAAGCTACGTTTGCATCCGGCGTCGGATAACCGGGGGCCGGGTTCACGCCTCTGCTGACGCGCGCCCTCACGAGTCGGAATTCGCTTCGTTCAGCACGGAGAAGATGACTTAATAGTAACGCTTCCCCTGGCTGTTCCTGCAGCTGCCGGTCTCTGCTGCGGAAGAAATCGCGTAAGTACAGCCCGAAAGTCCATGCGTTTATTTTCTCAAAAACAGGCGGCAGAAAGCCATTTATTTTCATGAAAAAAAAAAAGAATGCAAATAAGCATTTATTGTCATGAGAAAATGCAAATAAGCATTTATTGTCATGAGGAAATGCAAAAGGGCATTTCATTCAGCCTAAACATAGGGTCCAAAAAAGCATGTAAAATGTGGGAAATGAGCATTAAAAGCCTATACACAATATAATGTCGAAAGGAATCGAAGATCGTACTTATGTATGTGATAGAATTCTTTGTGACCGAAAAAAGCTTGTCGCCATCAGTGAGAGAGACTCAAGAATCATTGGTGCTATTGTTCGGTTTTCTGGCACCCATTTTCAACTTACAGTCCGAGTTCAACCAACATGCTTCCTGCTTGTTATTGCACTTCCACTTACAAAGGAAGACAGAATAGTACAATATTGCCCACGCGTTGTACAGACTTGCTAATGTTTCGAGATTGATTGATATATTTATTAAGAGAAAAAGGAAAATAAGTGAAAAAGAATGCAACGTTCAAAATCGGGGTAAAGAATCATAGACATAACGAGCTAAATACAAGCAAAATGCCGTAATGAAAATATTCTAAAACGACTTTAGAAGCAGTTAAAAGCCACCATTCCGTAACAACCGGGATCTAATGGAGGAGACCCCGGTAATCCATATCTCATCGATTGAATCGCATCCATCAATAATTTGGTGCTGCAGCGTGGCCAGGCGGCCATGCTGCCTCATCTCACGCCCCCGCTTGCAGAAAAATACAAAAAACGCGACAGTGTCGATATATCCTGTAAGATTGCAGTGTACCAGAACTTAAGATTCATCGAGATTGGTGCCGGAAAACAAAACTAGTGGTGCCACAACAGCACGTGCCTTCTCGCACTTTTTTAACGGTTACATAAAATTATAATAATATCCCCCAAACGCCAGTGAACCGCCAAAAATGTCTCAGCCAGGAAAAAAATAAGTGGTGCTAAACAGCATACATTTCTTCGCATACTCCCTTGCATTACTTCTAACTTATGCAATTTTAGGAAGTCCAGAGTGTTCAACAATATTAGACATGCACCATTTCTTAAGAGTCTTTTACTCTATCCGTGGAAAAATACAAAGAAAACATTTGGAGCCGTTTCTGAGATTTTCTAAATTAATTGAATTAACTTCGAGCAGAAATTACACGAAAACTATTCGATATTCAAAAAATTGTACATGACTTTATTTAAATATTTGAAATTTTAGATTACATTCCATTCATCAAAAACATGTCTAGCATCAGTATTGTACTTTTTGACATTTTTTTCACAATTCGAAAATACAGAGATTTTGCCGAAAATTGGACCAGCACCATTTTTTATTGCCCTTTGCTAAATACTTGAAAGAAATGTAAGAAAAAGCTTTGCACCGTTTTTGAGAAAATAAATTTATTTTAAATTGCTCATATTTCATGCAAATTTAAACAAAAACTCTTATTTCAAAAAAAAAAAAAAATAAAATAAAAAAAAGACCCTAATTTAAAGATCTGCCTTTGGACAACAAATTTCATTAAGGAAAAAACTATATTTTTAATATTGTAGTAAAAGGAATACACCGGAAAAATGGAACTTTTGCAGTTTTAAAATATTTGTAGAATCGAACGAAATTGGGACCTGCATCATATTTAAGCGCCAATTCCGGGAAACAAAGTTTAATCGAACAATTTTCTAACCTTCATGCGCAAATTTCGTTACATCGTTCACTTCTCACGTCGCTTATGTTATTTCGTTCATTTTCTTGTAGTTAACGCGCCTTGGGTCACCATGAATACCAACATCAAATACACTATTACTCGTGTATATTTTCAGTATTTTTTTGTGTGAAATCTAAAATAATAAGGGAGAATGTCCTCGTGTTTTCTTGATACATTGTTCTAGAAAATGTATAATTCCTCATTTTTGGTTTCTTGCTGCACGGTTCTTAACGTTGTATCGTAATATGAACCAGGAATAGTATTTGTTTAAAATGTATTATTGCTTACATTTACTATTTGGTACTGGAATAGTGGATACACATGTTTCAGGTACTCTCGTTAAAGTTTAGAACTTAATTCTACAAATATCATTGTATTCATCTGCAAACAAAGTCATTTATTACGGAACGTGAAAATTACTTGAGGAAATTCACTCTTTTTAGCGAAATAACTACGCATAAGGATACAGATTAATGCAACTACTCGTACTTAAATCCACAATGTATGAAAGAGATACATACGCAATCAAAAACGGTCTGCAACGAATGCGGAAACTTTCCGAACACGGCAAGGAACGCACACGACGGTTCAACGGCGCATCATCGACGCAAACAAAACGTTTGGCTCGCAAGAAAAACAATCTCCTAATAAGGAAGCGCGGGCACGAAGACGGGACGGAACAACCCTGTCCTCTTCGCCGTCGCACGACGGCCCCGTTGTCAATTCACCCAGACAAAAATTATGTTGCCTTGATCAGCTGACCAGGGTGCGAATTGACGAGGTAGATCCAGGGGATCGCCTCTTCCCTCCACCTCCACCAAATGAAGTACAAAAGATTTAAGTTTAATCTGGAGCAGTTACATACGGTTTACATAATTAATTTATGTAGCTGATTGATCATTGTGAAGACCAAGTACTATAATAATAAATGAAGCACTTGCGAAACATTTGACCACGTAGGAGAAATGTTCATCTAAAAATTGTTGGTAGTCATCAGCGAAAGTTATACATAAAATTAGTAACAATAATCCTCCTATCATAACGTATGTTGATCAATTGACAAGTTGACAATTGACAAGGATCCTCAGTACAATTGTAGTTCTTGAATCACATTTTCCCCATTCCTTGTGCGGCTACAGGACGGTGCACACCTCGTCCGCTATCTCGACTGTGACCAGTGTTAAGAAGTGGCCGTGTTACGGCCGTTCAGCAAGCGAGTGACATGTTTAAATATCTCAGTGCAGTGAAGTGCAATAATTGTTTATTACTAGACATATCAGCACGAGGTGTTGGCGCCAAGGCGACGCGTCCTATCGGTCCACCTAGTGCGATATTTTCCTTTTCCCTCTCTCAGACGAGTATCCAGGAGTGAATATAGTTTCGTAAGAATAAATGTTCAATCCGACAATGACAGAAAACGAGAATACATCATTTCCGCCGCTATCAGATGTGGTGTCGTCAGATCTATACGCGCTTAACGTCTTTCATTATACGGAGCCGCGTCTAATTAATCACCGACAGCAGCAGCAACTTCAGCTATATGCAGTGAGCCAGCCTGCAAATTCAACCTTTACGCAACTGTCTTCACCACTCGTGGGATATTCTCAACCACCTCTATAGATAAATACAACACATTCACCTTTTTTAAGAAAACCCAGATATCAAGTATCAGTGTATAACCAAGCTTCGTTCCAGCAGCATGCCTTATAGTGCAAATGTCCCTTTATACAACATCCCAACTGACAATAAATTTTCTACTTTTCATCCTCACCCCGAGCCTTAATCAGAGCAAGGTGCCTCAAAAAACGATTCTCCATCCTCACAACCGAATAAGATACTTTCAATTGTTATTTATGATCTACCTGTTCATACGGAATGCGATATGTTGAGTAATCAACAGCAACCTTCACTTCTTACCCTTCTCAAAATTGGAAACACGATAACCATATTCAAGAAGTATTTGCACGACCAGAAAAAGAGTTCCTGAATGCCCTGAATTAATTTCACCAGCCAAAATCATCAAATATCTTTCAAGCAACCCCAAAATTATCAAATTGTCACTATCCAATATCAATTTTTTGTATTAAAACGCTTTCCCATAAAAGTAATCGTACATATTACAGGAATATTTAACACCGCTTTGAGGCAAAAATACTTCCCTGATAAATGGAAACACGCCCACATTATCCCCATTCTCCAGTCTGGGAAAGCACAAAACGAACCAACTAGCTATCGCTCGATTAGTTTGTTACCGACAGTGGGAAAGCCATTTTAAAAATGTATACGCTCTGGGCTAAATTCTTACCTAAGGCCTGTCAATTCCATACCACCTTATCAGTTTCCAACCCCATCATCCAGCCCACTTTTTTTGCGTATCATCAAATCTTACGCTTAACTGAAGACATCATCAAATGATTCCATGGCCACAAGCATATCGCAGCAGTTTGTTTCTAGGTATAGATAAAGTTGTCGATACCGTTTGCCACCCAGGGTCAATTTTCAAATTCCGCAGTATAGGTACTCCATTATATTGGTCTCTCATCATTGAAAGTTTTCTTACCAAGCGAACATTTTCTGTACGTCTCCCCGGAGCACTCTCCGAACCTTTCAGCACTAAAGCACGAGTACCCCAAATATTCACCTTCACCCTCACTTTATTGAATGTTTACACTTCGCATAGACCAATAACCCAAAATACTGCCATAGCTCTCTTTGCTAATGATACAGTAGTTTATTCTTCCAATATCAACCTTGAAACTGCTGTGAAATATCTGCAGCATCACTTTACATTATTTTCTAACTGGACCAAAAAAATGGCACTTTGAAATAAATCCAAATAAAAGCCAGACAAAAATATTTACCCTACGTAGACCAGACGTCCCCCCAGATCTCACATGTCAATCACAAAACATCACCTGGCTCCCCCCAATAAAACTATCAAATATCTTGGAGTTATTTTCGATAAAAGACTTACATGGCTGAAAAATATAAAACACCGAATAGCGCTAGCGCCTGGTAGAGTCCACAATTATATACGATTCTCAAAAAAACATCCCTCCTACAGCTACATGTTGCTATTCACCTATATAAAGCAATGATACGACCCATACTTTCCTATGCTTCCCTTCCCTATGTCTGGACTACCGCAGCAAAAATAAACATCAACAATATGCAAATTGTTCAAAATAGATTCCTACGCACCATCACAAAAGCTCCCTGGTACATTCTGAATGAGCAGTTACATAATGAACGTGGCATTACATCCCTCCCCGTCCACTTCTTCCTCTACCCGCAAAATTCTATTCCAAAAATATTAAAAATTCCTTCAGCTATTCAATTTCATGTAGATAAGCAAAATCCTCATCACAAAAGAGTAAAAAGAAAGTTACCAAAAATTTTTTCTATTCCTCGCAGACAAAAACTGATGAGTTTTTTCTCATTATAAACTACTGTGTATAACCATTGTATTGTATCATATCTCAAACTTGATTTCTGTATATAATGTATCAAATGATTCTTGTATGTATCTCATGTCAATGTATTTATCATATGCGGCTGCTGAGGGCCAATAGAATAAATTAAAAACACATTTTCCTCTTTCATTTTAGTCATTTTATTTGCTCCTTTGGAGTAAACTAATTTTTTTATTCTCAAAATAATAACCCCCCAAAATTACTCGTGCTCTGCAAATTTTCGAATGATTTGTGTAAGTACTACAAGGTTCCAGAATCCATCGGTAATTTCCAAAGCATTCATAATACTACCAATAATAATTTGTGGCAACTATGGTCTAAATATGAAATAGTACCATAACTGTTCTCCATCTTTCAAATTAAAAGTAAGCTACATTGTCCCAAAAATTCGAATACATTACGTTTGTCGAAATACGAATATATTCTGATACTAACGGGAAGCAGATGATATTTGAAAGATTTTTAGAAGAGTCTAGAACAGAAATAATAATTTTTTTCTCAATCAA